GCGGTGGTACCATCCGCGGACGCTCTCCTCGGTGCAGTGGCTCTCGCACAAGAAGGTATAGCTCGTCCTGCCTGCATTTAGCAGCTTCAAACAAAGTTTCCCAACTCTGCAAAGTAAATCGGGTTTGCTTTTCCTGCGATGCATTGGCACAAGCAAAATTCCCGCGATACAACGCCATTCCCAGGACGAGGCCTAAGAAGCTTCACGGCCTCTTCCTCCATCATGTCAAAAGGTGTCTACCATGCTGTGAGCGGTGGGCAGGAGGCACTCAAACAGCGCGAAACGCAACTACTATGCAACTACCAAACGAAAATGCAATTCTACATTTCAAAGAGTATCCTGTCGGTGTCGTCGTCATCTTCAAATATTTGAAAAAGGCGCTCCTTTCCGTGAACTGTGCACCCCCAGATGGTGCGCAGTATCGCCGACGAGAGCGGAGAAATTGGCTTCTCCTGAGCTTCTGCCCTAACTCTGAAGATGACAACAAGCGGAATCCAGGTCAGGTATACATACTTTTAGGCCGTAGTGAAGAACCCAGGTTGTCTGCTTGAGACTGAAACGGAATTTTTTTTGAAGTTTGGGCCGCTGGACTACTACTAGCATGGGACATCCACCACCAAACCTCCCCACCACACCTGCAGCAACCACATCTTGCACCACAACGTCAACACCAACCATACACCCTTCGACAGACAAGGACCTACTCCATCGGACACGCACACACGAACAGGCACCGAGATTCCCACATCAACAGTGCCCTCACCCTCTACAACTCACTCCCTATCGACATCACAACCCAACCTCGTAGAAATTCTTTCCGAAACAATGCATCCAGTCTTCTTTTGAGCAGTACCTGTTCCTGCTCCGCGCATCCCCCTGGTTTCTGATATCTCGAACGTGTACTTAACTATCCGAGTCGATCACCCCTGCTAACGTTATTGCCCCCGCTTGTTTTTCATGATCCATTGCTTCTTGCCTCCCGGTTAATTTCCATCATAGCTGTTTCTGGCTAGTACCAGTTCTATCGCACTTATTAATCATCCTTATTGGCGTCACGCCATCGTGGAATAAAAGAATAATAATCAGAAAACTGAATTAGCTCTGCCTCTCGGTATTGAGCACTCTCTTGGACAGCCTGGAACCTCTCTGGTTTACTTGGAGACTACTGCCACTGTACTATTTATAGTGGAATTTTAGTGTATGTCGAGAATTTGCAGTTTACGAAGGTGATGTGATTTAGTCAGTAGCGGCTTTCCATACGTACACAGATACCGTTTGTGTCGGCAGCGGCTTGGTATAGTGGAGTTTTGCCAAGCACATGCTAACTAATTGGTGTGATAAAATGTCACCTTCATCTTCTAAGTTCACCCTCTCTGTTATAACAGTACATGCGGTGTCATTATGACTGTTCACTTGCGCAAATTTTACCACCTACTAGTACATCATCCCCGAGGCTGTTGCAGCTTGTACTGGCCAGTATAGTTCTGCATTCCTGCCAACATCAATTTCTTTGATACTTGCCATTTGCCAATTTTATTATTGCCAAGATTGGCTCTTATTTTGATCTTCTTTGAGTGTACGATGCAGTTTCTGAGCCAAGTTTCTTCCTCCTTTTGTCTCAGACATGACGCTGTGCGAACTGCGGACTTGTACTTAGGAGTGCGCTTTATGTTCCTTTTACGGAAAATGGAAAAAACAAGAATGGGCTATGCATTTTTTGGTGGACGGAGACGCATTGGACAGCAGCAATTTCATATTAGGCAGCAGTCGACCTGCCTGTCCTACTGTAGCTGCTTCGGTCGCCTGTACACCACTCGTGTACCGGATAGATGTCAAAGTGCAAAGTTCAAACGGCGATAGACCTATATCAGGCCCTATCCTTGCCAATGGTGGCTCCATGCAAAAAAAACTCTCGCTCCTGGGATCCTATCCGGCATTTGGAACGGCATGCGTAGCTTGGTCAAGGAAGAAAAAGGGATCAAATCAGCGCCAACATGATCCCAAAGCGCGTTCTGTGTACAAGTGGAGCTCTCATACGCATCCAGTCCCAAACCTCACATCTCACACTTGTCCAGCCATCTCGGCTTTTACTTTGTTCTAGCCAGCAAGATCAGTACAGAGTCAGAACCAAGTAGGTAGCGAGATCAGCGACAACCGAAGAGTATTGCTCTTATTACTCGAAGAACGTTGCGGAGCTAACACTAATCACGAGAGATCATCTTCTGCTGCGAAGTCTGCTTCCCGAGTCGTATCATATCGTGGAGGTGCTGTTGGCGTTGGTCTCATCATGGCAACAAGAGCCTCCCAAGTATTGCTGGTGAGTGCGAGCAGTGAAGTAGGAATGACATGAATAGTTGGGATGTTTCTCTACTGAAAACACGTATGAAAGCTCCTTCTAGTTCTGACAGTACAGTGCCTGTCTATGTTGCGAAATTACGTTTCAGCGGATCATGTAGAGTTTTGTACTTGTTCGCGTAGCAAAACCTTTACGAGTAGCGCTTTAGTTAGGTACACTGGATAAGCGGATCTTATCCACTTATGTACCTGTACCCGCGGGCTGTAGTGGAAGGGTCCCCTATGCCAGAAAATACACACAACTGCTGCACATAGCTGCCAAACAATAGCACTTGAAGAAATGCAGCTGCTGCGTAACAAAGACCACTCTGTTCAAAATATGTATTGCGTGTCAGAAGAATCTGAATACAAAGCTCCGCATATTCCATTTTGTCGCTTTTCAGAAAATGACCAGAAAGGAAGTCATTTTTTGTGCACTTTGTATCTAAATAGCTCGCCGTGATGCCGCATATAAAGTCCTGGCTTATTCACGTAGAAGCCGATGTGAGCTCTAGGCTTGTTTTCAACATGGTGTCAGTGTCGTGTTTGGTAGCACTACTGCCAGGCTTTTGTGCCAACATTGCATCTTGAAAATCAGGCTTGCATTCAAAACAGGCTCCCGACCTTTATACAAGGCAGAATAGCTGGTTGAATCTTGGATGTGAAGTTTTGCACGAATGAACGAGTGCTTCCTGACCTGTGGATGGCGCTGTACCAAAAATCGGAGCCGAAAACTCTCCACTTCCCAAATAAGGCGCTTGCTGCATTTTCTCTCATCTATATTCGTCACTATTTAACTCCGACCTATCTACACTTGTGGACATAGAAACACAGTGGAATGACTTGGGCAAGAACCCTAAATATGTCAACATCATCACACACCAGTGTGTAGAGAGCTGTCAAACAAGAAAAGCTTAAGTTAAAAATGGCAAATGTGTACCAGGCCTACACATACCCTGTGCACAGATGTTCCATTTTTGGCTGGAGAGTCTATTTCCCGAAATATGACCAGGAATTCCAGTACTGTACCTGTATATGGAGTTGGGAATGCAATGAATTGTACATGTATAAGCAGAAATATTTGTCTGGCATCATCTTTTTTCATCTAAGGAGCTTTCGGACTAAATTAAATGCCGGATCTAACGTCGATTTTCTCTGCTTTCAATACGATTCATGGTCCATGGACAAAAATTTCAACCGGAGGAACCCCCGTTCTTTGGCTTTGGATGAAATTGTTGACCGACTCAAATGTCTGCTTGCACAGTAATTGCTTTTTGAACCACATGCGCGCACACGGCTGCAAGGCCAGCGTCTCAGGTCGCGTACATTATGTCTCAGGTGTCAAAGTCCACAACTTGGCACGTATGCATGGATGTGTAGAAGGGAAGTCGCCCGCACCAGTGCAGGAATTCGTCACCCCAAGAATAGGAAGGAAGGTGCTGGAATCTCGGAAGAAAGAGCACCACGAGGTTGAAGTGGCGCCTCATGCTACTGTAGTGACATTCATTCTACCAGTGCAGTACACATACTGCAACATTCATTCTACCAGTGCAGTACACATACTGCAACATTCATTCTACCAGTGCAGTACACATACTGCAACATTCATTCTACCAGTGCAGTACACATACTGCAAAGCAGCTGCGCGCGCTGAAAAGTGAACTTTATACTACGGTGAAAGGGTGGTCGTTAAACTGACACCTGGAGCGGCGTAATAGTCTCAAACTGAGAGCCCGAAGCTGAAAATCCGATTCACGTAAAAATCCTCTGAAGAAGCCTGCCGGAAACATGACCGTCGCCACAAGGACTCGAGCCTGGGAAAAGCACCTTTTTGATTTTTCATCATCACTCTTGCGTCATTCTAATTCAATGTTGATTTTATGCTGCTCTTTGGCAAGACAGGCAGGCATAGTGGGATGGTCTAAGACCATGATTGAGAAACAGAGGGTACCAGGTTCAAGTCCTGCTTGGAAGCGGAAGGAATTTTTCCAGCCGTGCTGCGACCCACAGTTAATTGGGAACTCGTGGCCTGGCACGAGGGTAACATGGATGCAGCTAATGGGATTTCGGTCTTTGACCACTTGGTGGTGGGTCTGATCTACTCACCTCCCACCGTTTAGGCGCTGCATCTGCGCCTTTGATCCTAGAGGGTGGTGGCGTTCCCACGGCGGATGCGGAAAACTCGGCTTCCAGCCGAGTCTCACGCGAACCGTGAAATTTTTTATTTATTATTTTTGGCAAGACAGTCAAGCTCGTGAAGAACGACCTCGGGTAGAACAATAACGTGTCAATACCGGCACATTCTTCTGGCCAAGTTACCATTAAAATACTGAATGCTTTCAACGGTACGGATAAAAAAACAACTAGAGAGCAAATGCACTCTGCTCATGCTCGATTGAGGGTTTGTTTTTTGTTCACACGGTTGACTGTTCTTGTACCTTAAAAGCCTGTGTATATGCCCACTCGAAAATACACCCACCCACCCAATACACTGCTATCCCTATTCCAAGTATACGCCCGGTTCCAAAATAACGCCCGTGCCCTTGTATACGCCCAGGAAATCAAGGCTGCTATTCTATACGCCCGGGGGCCTATACAGGTCCTCCCTCATTATAACGAGTCCGGTTAGTACATAAACCCCGTTAGTAAATAGAAATCTGAAATCC